CCTAGTCCCACCTATCTTGCTTCTCTATTGGCCAACATTGCTTTTTTCATCAACCAATAAGACAAACACACACAGAAGGGCTTCTGCCATCAGCCTGTCATTCACATGCCCTCTTTATCTTTACAAGCCAGAAACCCAAGAAGATTCCCTCTCCCTTTCCCTCTCCTAATTTGCATCAGGCACTATGGGCCAGCTGTTGGTCATGAACTCTTCTGAGAATTATGGGGCTGAAGGTGTGTTTGACACAGCAAAATTAATTAAAGCATACAACATTTATGGCATTCCTCTCACACAACAGCCACCTCTATCTGTTTCTAAAACATTGTCATCAATCCAAATAAGACCTTCCCCATTACTGAGCTTGGATCCTGGGCCCGAGGTTGGGAGGGAGAACTGCCTTAAGGGTGCAGAACTGACAGACCCCAGGAGCCAAATCACCTTGTTTCTTACTGAAGAATGCTTAGAGAAGGAGAGAGTGAAGGCAGGGACTTCACTACACCCCCGATCAGCCAGGTCTGCTGAGATGTAATGAGGAGTTGTGTTTTTCTCTCTGGTTGTTTCTTGTATGATCCAGACATCAACTCTTTTATGAGTTGGAATCAATTCATTTTCATGTGTTGAACACCCTAGATCAACAACCAAAACACTGGCTTTTCATAAATACACAATCTGAAAGCCTGTTGTAACTGGTGCGAACCCCCAGCATGCTGTAGAGACAACAGATACACTATTGTGATCTATAGGAGAAAGGGGGAGGGGAGTAGATTAAGTGACATCAGGCTGGTACGGGGAGAGTGAGTCTGAGAGCTGGAGTAATAATAGTAGTGGGTGGAAGGAATTGTTATGTATATCTGTGGGAAAGAGGTAGGGAGTGAGGGGGAGTGAGGGGTAGGGAGGATGAGCATGGTTCAAAACTGCACAAAGAGGAGACACAAAGAGGCCAGTCTAATTATAGAGGATCTTATACAGTGTGAACAAATAATACTGGCTTTATATTGTTTTGACGATTTGGTCTCCAACAAATGATCACAATATAATGCATGAAAATACTTTAAATGAACAATAAAGAGAATCGGTCTATAAATTCAATGCAATCGCAATTCAAAATCCATCACCCCCAAGGCTGGGCATGATGGCCTGTGCCTGTAATAAGGCCGAGGATTGTACGCTCAAAGCCATCTGGGCTGTATGTGGAGACGAAATCTTAAAAAAATAAACTCAAATGCTACAGCAGTATGTTTTAAATATATTGCAAATACAATAAAATCATATCACCAAAGAACAGAAACTCTAGTGGTGTGCTGTGGTGAGGTCTCACAGCCCCAGAATTTGGGGCACAGAGGCAGGAGAATCAGAGGTTCGAGGACATCCTCTTACATAACAATTTAGAGGCCTTGTCGATGTAAGACCCTGTTTCAAAACAAACAAACAGTTCCCTCAAGGACAGGACAAGGTGGCTAAAGTTGAAGACTTATCTTACCACTTAGAGCATTTGCAGCCTTCCTAACACCGAGACCCTTTAATACACTTCCTCGTGTTGCGGTTGTCATAGTTGAAAAACCAGTGGGAAGGAGTCACACCATACAGCATGGAAAGGTTTATTGAAAGTGGAGAGAGAAGGGGGCAGAGAGGGGACAGAGACTTGTTCCAGAGGACAAGAGTGACAGAAGAGAAAGAGACTGGAGGTGGGCAGGGCCCTTTTAAAAGGGAACATAGTGAATGTGCACAGGTGGTGCTCTTAGTGGCTGCAGCTGAGGGCGTATCCTAAGGATCCTAAGGGCAGGCCAGTACAGATGCCTAACAGTGATGAGCCCCCAACCATAAAATTATTTCATTGCTACTTCATAACTGTAATTTTGCTATTATGAATCATAATGTAAATATTGGACATGCAAGATATCTGATGTGTGATCCCCCCCCCAAAGGGGTCACAGCCCACAGGTTGAGTGCTGTTAACTTATAGTATTATAGTATGAAGTTAGCATTAAAAAGAAAACACAACAAAAACTCTTTTTTTTTTCTTTTTCTTCTTTTTTTTTTTTTTTTTTTTTTGATTTTTCGAGACAGGGTTTCTCTGTGTAGCTTTGGAGCCTATCCTGGCACTCACTCTGGAGACCAGGCTGACCTCAAACTCACAGAGATCTGCCTGTCTCTGCCTCCCTATTGCTGGGATTAAAGGCGTGCGCCACCATCGCCCGGTCACAACAAAAACTCTTAAGGTGATGCTGACTTAACTACCTGCAGTGAAGAGGTTTTTCTTAATTTCTATATAGATCGTTTATAAAATTAAATAAATTTCTCTTTGATGTCATGATGATGCCAGGTTGCTATAAAGTTTCTTAACACTTACTTGTTCTTCATGTTTCTCATTATAACCTCTCTAAGCTTTTGAAACCTAACGCTATTCCATTAATTATACCCCAGGAGAATTATTTTATCTTTTGTTTGTTTGCTTTGATTTTGGAGGTGGGCACCCAGAGCTTCATGCACGCCAAGCCCTAGTTCAGCCATTGAGCTGCTGCTTTCCTCACTCAATATTCCTTTGGAAGATGACATACCATATCATAATCATGACACAGTAGGCAAAGTTTTCTCCAACAAAACACCAAAATCTGTAACTATTAAGGACAAACATTGTTCTGTAATCAAATTAAAAACTGTTGTTTCCGAGAAACCCTGTCTCGGAAAAACCAGAAAAACAAAAACAAAAACAACAAAAAAAATGTTGTTTTAGTAAGGTGTGGTGGCCACTCCTTTAATCCCTGCAAAGGCAGGTGGATCTCCTTGAGTTCGAAGCAAGCTGAGGTTATTTCAGTCTGCATAAGTGAGTTCCAGGACAGCTAGTGCCACACACACACACACACACACACACACACACTGGGACCCTGTCTCAAAAAACAAAACAAAATAAAACACCTTTAAAAGACACCACTAAAAAACTTCATTGTTAGGGAAAATGCTGGAAGAGCAGACAGTCCTCATAAGTAAGAGCAGGCATTTGTAATATACAGAACTAAAAGAAGCAGGCACCCAGCATTCAAAATGTTTGAGTAAGGCGTGTAGATAAGGATGACTCCAGTGGGGACCAGGCAGAGATGTAGCAGGCAGCTACAGAGGAGGTTTTACTCTTGAGTGTCAGTGGGAAATAGCAAAATAAAACTCCCTGGACTTTACTAGGAATCCAGGAGAAACTCAAATGATTCACAGAGCAGCTGGCAATGAGGTACTAAGCAAGGCTGAAAGTGAGCAGCTTCCTTTAAGGAGCAAGCTTATACACACAAACCAGTTTATTCACAGAAGAGGCAGGCCCAGGGCAGACATGTTTACATGTCAACAGTGTGGCTGGGAAGCCTGAAGCTAACCACAGGGAGTTCTGGGAAAGCATTATTTCCTAGTCAGGATGGTGGCAGCATGGAGGTATACAGCTTGTGAAGAACTAGGGGACCTCCATTCCCCCCCCCCTTCCTGTCTAGGTCTATGTAATTCTGTCGATGTAGCAATCAGTTAAAATTCAGTTGGATGGAAAGAGGCATTTATTTTTCTTGTTGTTTTGTCTTTTAACATCATTGGCAGTACACTCTGAGGATGTACTACACTTACTGTGATACCTGCTGTCTGTGCAAGAGACTCGGACTAATGCCAACAAAGGTGTTACAAGAATCTGTGTTATTTCCCCAGGCTACCGTCGCCTTTCCGGCAATGCCTAGTTTTATAACATGCTGTTCAATTTCTGAATAAAAGTTGCCCTCTGAAGACTCCTATCTTGGAAAAACTAAATAGAAGATAGGTAGATGGATATAGACAGATGACTGGTGTAAGGCTGGGGATGCACCGTTGATACAGTAACTGCCTAGCATGCCTGAGGCCCTGGGTCCAATCCCAGCACCAAATAAACAGGGAATTGGTGTGTGCCAGCATTCTTAGCACTGAAGAAATAGAGGGAGGAAGGCCAGAACTAAGGTCCCTTCTCACCTAGAGAGCTTCTGGGCAGCCTGAGCCACAAGAAACCCTGACTCAAAAACAAGAACAAAAACAAGGTTGGGTGTGGTGCTACACACCTTTAATTCCAACATTAGGGAGGGAAGTATCTGTGAGTTCTAGGCCAGCCTGGCCTTTGTAGTGAGTTTTAGCCTATCCAGGGCGGTATAGTAAGACTTTATCTCAAAAACAAACCAGACCAGAATTAAGGAACAGATAATGAGTTGGTCATTTCAAGGTTGTTTTCCTTTTAAGGGCAGGGCTGGGAGGCAGAATAGACAAGGTGACATTCAGTAGTTACTTTAAATTACTCTTTTTGGGTAAGGATTTAAGGCAGAGAGAGCTCTGTTATCCTGTGTGTTGTAATCAGGCAGTTTAGGGAGAGGTTGTTAACTCTCAGTCCTTTCAGTATTGACACAAGCCTTGCTTTATATCTGGTGATAGGGAACTTCAGCATGGTGACTACTCCAATTTGGGTTTTTAATCTGGTGTTTTGTGGGAAGGAGCCTATTCCAGAAAGTAGAGCATTCCGCAGTTGTTTAAAGATACATAATAAGATAGAGATGCCATTGAACCGTACAAGTTGAATGCAAGAGGCTGGGTTGGGGAGTGCCTTGGAGGTGGCCAGGGTCAGACAGCATTTGAAACCTTGAGAAGGGGCTCTGGAGAGATCCAGTGGCTTGGAAGTTAACTCCGAGAAACTTCTCATTTTAGAATTAGGTACAGAAGCAAGAGAATGTGGTCATACTTGAAGAATCCTCTCCTGTTTGAATGAGCCTATTGAAAATCAGAAATGCTCATTAATTTGCGCAACTCGATTTAAGTTACTAACATCCCCAGCATTCAAATCAGAACTGTCCCAGCATTCAGCTCCACCATGTCATTTTGAAAGTTCAGCTAGTAGCAGTCCTGATGGCTGGCCCAATCCTTGGCCTCGGAGTGAGTGTGTGATCTCTGCGGGTGTATGATGACAGAGCCTGGAGTCCTCAGTCAAGAGTGTGATTCCACAGTCTTCCCCACAGGCCCTGATGGACGAGGTGCAGATGCTCCAAGATGAGATTAATGGGCTCCAAGCATCTCTTGCAGAGGAGCTGGTGGCTGAATCTCCAGAGTCGGACCCTGCGGAGCAGTTGGCTCTGCAGTCCACACTTACTGTCCTGGCTGAGCGGATGTCCACCATCAGGATGAAAGCGGCTGGCAAGCGGCAGCTCTTAGAGGTAACTAGGGCCCTGGAAATGCTTCAGCTCCTGGGTCTGTATCAGGCTTTAGTATCTGTTAGCAGTTGTTCTGGGTTTGTTGTTGTTTTAATTGGGTTTTGTTTCTGTTCTCTTTTTTTATATTTATTTTTTAAAGCTTTCACACACACACACACACACACATACACACACACACACACACACACACACACACACACACACCACACACACACAGATATTGTCTGTTGAACACCTTTGCCCTCATACCTCCCTGTTCTCACCTTTTCTTATTTCCATTGGTCCCCATTGTCCCCTTAAAAGTTTTACTGCTACATTCATGTTGTATGTGTGTGTTTGTGATTTTATGTATTTGTGTAAGTATGGGAACCATGTGTGAGAGAATGCATACAGTATTTGTTTGTCTACAACAGGTGTAATTCACTTCATGTAATTACCTTTAATCATGTCAATTTTCTTATTAATGTTGTCATTATATTCTTCTTTATGGATGTAAGAAATTCCATTGTGTACACACATGTACTTATACACACACATACACGTACATACTCCACATTACGTTTTCCTTACCCAGTCTCCGTTGCTGGACACCTTGGCTGGCTCCATGGTTTGGCTACTGGAATCAAGTGAAAGTGTGCCATGATTTCCCAGGCCTAAGCACAGGATCCTAAGCATAGTCAAGGGTGTGTCTACCAATGTGCTCCAGATGGGAGGCAGGGAGAATGCAGAAGGCTGGTACTTGATGAACTAGAGCCCCATGGACAGGAATTATAGATTTGAGTAATGATTTGCTGTGATTAAATAAGAGTGTTCAATGATGGATAGAACTGATACTGCGAAGCATAAACCTGTCTATTCACTGTTAGCCAGTCCAAGCATACTAACTCATAAAATAACTTTGCACTTCTGTTGTCAATGTTACTTGATTTAAATCTTATTTGGTAGGCAGATTTTATATATATGCTAAAAATCAGCTGTTCTTTTCATTACATATATTCTCTTATAACTATTGGCCTTGGCTTCTAGTGTCTCTGTATCATAATGTCCCCATTACACTTCTTATGCAAACTGAGTATTGTCTTATTTACTAATGATTATGTCATAATTAAATTTATGATGGCCCCATTGATGAAGATGTAGACTCTTTCTAAATTGACTAGTCACAAGACCAGTCAAATCATATATCTATTCTACATCAACTTAAAATGTGCTTTTTTTACTTACTAGTCTCCATGTTAAGATTTTAACTAAAAAATTATTATTATTGGGGCTACAGAGAGAAGTCAGTGGTTAAGAGCCCTGGCTATTTCTGCAGATAGGCCTGGGTTCAGTTCCCAGTGCACAGCTAGCTCTGGAATGTCCTCTGATAGCCTCTGCAGGTATTGCACACACATGGTACACAGACTTGTATGGGGAAAACAGTTTTACACATAAAATTAAATACATCTTTGAAATAATAATGGCAATTACTAATGATAGAATTTTTAAATGAGGTATTTGGAATGCCTGAAGTTAACTTCTTAATTCTATCATATTACTTCTACTCTATGGAAAGCTTGTGTGATGTTTCAGGATAAGATTGGCTTGAATGTTTCAGCATGAACTATTTGCAATGGTTGAGAAAACTTGAGAGTCAGCATAAAACTTTGGGTTTCTGGTTTATTTCAACACAAGTACCACTGGCTGCTCCTTCCCACAGGATCAGCTGCCTACAGTGCTCCTTATATATGTGGGATAGATGTCCTTTAGTCAGCTTCCATCCCTCATGCCAGAAATTGAGGTTAAATGTCTGTTGCCATCCACCAACTGTTTCGTGTCACTGTCTGGTTCTAATGCTTGGCTAATTTCCATCCTACCCACGACTGCCAGACCCTACAGGAATCTTGAGGATGCCTCATTCAACTCTGGGACACATCCATTTATTGGGGGAAGGGCATGGGAGGATCTTCACATAATAATGTAGAGACAGAGAACTCCTGAATTAGACTTCTGAGATGTGGCCTGAGTCTCGGTATTTGTTTTGTTTCCCAGCTGATTGTGTGTGTAGCCAGGGCTTATTGTATGAGATCTTCAAGCTCTCACTGCTCGATGCTCCCTCCAAGTTACTTTCTTCCTAATTCTCCAGGAGAAGCTAAATGACCAGCTGGAAGAGCAGAGACAGGAACAGGCCCTGCAGAGGTACCGCTGTGAGGCAGATGAGCTGGACCACTGGCTGTTGAACACAAAGGCCACACTGGATGTTGCACTTGGTACACCCCAGGAGCCCATGGACATGGATGCCCAGCTGGTGGACTGCCAGGTACAAAGAGCCTTTACAACAGTGGTTCTCAACCTGTGGGTCATGACCCCTGGGGGGGTCGCATATCACATATCTGCATATCAGATATTTGCATTGATTCATAACAGTAGCAAAATTACAGTTATAGAAGATAATTTTATGGTTGGGGAGCACCACAACATGAGGAACTGTATTAAAGGGTTGCAGAATTAGGAAGGTTGAAATGAGTCTACATCATGAAGGACATTTTAAAAAATGCAGAAAACACACTGATCAGACGCTGGTATAGATCATATGAGTTTCCACAAGCTAGAGATTTTATATATTTACATAGTCAAAAAGCAACACATCACTAAAGCATAAATGAAATTCAAACCTGGAATTTTTTGTTGTTGTTTTGCTTTTGTTTTTTCAAGACAGGGTTTCTCTTTGTAGCTTTGGAGCCTGTCCTAGAACTCACTCTGTAGACCAGGCTGGCTTCAGACTCACTGAGACCCACCTGCCTCTGCCTCCCAAGTACTGGGACTAAAGGTATAGGCTACCACTGCCTGATTTGGAATTGCTTCTTGAAAAAACGTAGTAGTATCTAATCTTTGGGAAACAAAAAAAAAAAAAAACTCAGAGACTGGAGAGATGGCTCAGTAAAGAGTGATTGCTATCCTTCCAGAAGTCCCATTTTCAGTTCCCATCATCTGTATCAGGGACTCTCAGCCTGTAACTCCAGCTCCAGGGGCTCTAATGCCTCCATGGGTATCTACACTCATGTGCACACACACACATTCCCATAATTAAAAACAGTAAAAATAAGCTGGGCGGTGGTGGGGCAAGCCTTTAATCCCAGCACTCGGGAGGCAGAGGCAGGCGGATCTCTGTGAGTTCGAGACCAGCCTGGTCTACAAGAGCTAGTTCCAGGACAGCCTCCAAAGCCACAGAGAAACCCTGTCTCGAAAAACCGAAAAAAAAAAAAATAGTAAAAATGAAATTTTTGTTTAAAGAAAACTCCAGCACAGCAGCTTACATTTCTAAGTTTGTAACCTCAGGCCTTAATAGCAAAGCTCTTTTCTTTTGTATTTTTTGAGTCTTAATTTGTAGCCCTGCTGATCTGGAATGCATTGTGTAGAACAGTCTGCCTTAGGCTCATGCTAATTCTCCTGTCTCAGCCTTCTATATCCTAGGATTACAGGTATGCACTGCCCATAATACCGGTGTGCTCTATCATACCCACTTTACTTTTGTCTTTCTTGAAGCAGATTCTCAGAAAGGTAGAGTAGGTCAACCTGGGGTGCATGGCATTCTTGCCTCCCTCCATCCCCAGTGCTGGGATTGCACTTGTCATTGCCAAGCCTGTTGTGACTTGCATTTCGGTGTTGTGACTACCATTTTAGAAGATTGTAGACACCTGAATATTTATGGTATCTATGCTTAATGGCTAAAAAAAATAATAAACTCAGAAGAATTAGTATGATTGAGTCAAACTGAAATAACTGTAATTGGAAGCCTCAACAGGTGCTCAGTTGCCATTTGAACCTATCCGCACATGGTTCTTGAGAAATCTCAACAACCAACATCATTAGGAAAACAGTGTGCCTTAAAGTGCTGTCAGTCTCAGACAAATGGTTTCCTTTCTTCCTTCCTTCCTTCCTTCCTTCCTTCCTTCCTTCCTTCCTACCTTCCTTCCTTCCTTCGTTCTCTCCTTCCTTTCTTCTTTTCTCAAGAAGTAACAGAGATTAAATTTAGGGCCTCATGTGTGCTGGGCAAGGTCTCCACCACTGGGCTACAACCCTACCTGCACACAAAGGTTTTTTCTTATGTTTTATGGATACTTGTGCTGGTTTCTTACTATTGCAACAAAATCTGTGAATCATTAACTTAGAAAGAAGAAAGGGTTGTGTCCAAACTGTTGAGAGGCTTCATGCATGCATTCTAGCATTGATTTAGACGGCACAGTGCATCACGATGGGGGCACATGGAAGAAGCCTGCTCATCCCATTGCTTGGAACAAAAGAGAAAGAGAAAGATAAGCATCCATGATCCACTTAAACAAGGCATCTAAAATCCCCCACAAGACCCCACTTCATAAAGGTTTCCATCACTTTTGACTAGCACCAAGCTGGGTCTAAGCTCTTGATATACCAGCCTGTAAGAGACATTCCAGGTCTAATACAGCAAGAAACAGTGAACTCGAATGTCCCTATCACAAAACTGCATAATTACACTTCACATATTACACTTCACATGAGAGTAAAATACACTTGAAGTCTGTTATTGAAGTGGCTGGGGAGATGACTCAGCAGTTAAGCGTGCTTGTTCAGAGTACCTGAGTTCAATTCCAAGGCCACATGCAATGGCTCCCTCCCATCTGTAACTCTAGTCTTAGGGGATCTGATGCCCTCTTCTGGCCTCATTGGGCACTATTTGCAAGTGGTACACAGACATACATGCAGGCAAAACCCTTACATTAAAGGAATGAAATGAAAAAAAATTGTGTGGTGATATTATGATTTATTAAAGTCAACGGAGATCAAAATAGCAAAGCAGTCATACTAGTTAGCTATAGAAGCTAGCTGGTGGTGGTACACACCTTTAATCCCAGGACTCAGGGTTAAGAGGTAGATGGTTCTCTGTTAGTTCAAGGCCACATTGACTACACAAAATTGATCCAGTCTTAAAAGAAACAGTTTACACAAATGTGGTCTCAGCACTTGGGATCACATGCCTTTAATCCCAGGACTCATGAAGACAGGAATAGGGTATCAGATCTGGCATTCATACTCCAGCCACATTGATGATTGGAAGGCATACATTCTCCAGCGATGCTGAAGAGAGGCAGCAGTCTGAGGCTTGGTGGAGACAGGATCAGCCTTTTCAGCTGGGTAGAGGTAAGATCTACTGGCTTGGCTACTGTGATCTCCAGTGGCTTTAATAAAACATAAATTGTAACTAGAGGATTCCAGAAAACCCTACCCAATCTACATATCTCACCTATATGGCATCAAAAGAGACCTTCCAATAGCATTAGCTAATTAAGTCTACTTTCTTTTTGTATGGTATACCACAGTGGTCTTTCTTATTCATATTTTCAGGCTTATGATTGATGTTGGGTCCTTATCACTTAGATTCCTCTGTATGTGTCAGCAGTTCTGTTCTCTGGCCTGATGGTGGAGACTGAGGAACTAGATGGGAGCATTTCCTATTACTCTAAGTTGAGGCATGCATCTATTTTAAATGTTTTCTTTTAGGGCTTAAAATTAACACTCAAATTAGTATTTCAGACCTGCGTGATATTGTCTTTGCCACCCCCACTTTTAGGTATATCCATTTTCAGAGAAATTCACAAGCCTGCAATATAGTTGACATTATTCTGACAACACAGCTCAGGATATTTATAAAGTAGCAGAATGTGTTTTCATAGTATTTAAGGAACTAAAAGCATATGGCATTGAAACTAAGCAAACTAATCAAATTGATTTTCCAGATCTAATATTTATTTTACATCTTTAAAATACAGACATCAATACAGTTAAAATCTAGACCCTAGAAAGTTAAAATTTAATATGAAAATGTTGAAGAAAATCTTATGAATTTAAAATCTAGAATTAAACCATTTGCTTCATAATTATAATTGGCTGTCACATGGGATTGGAGTCACATGATGGACATAGTAGTGTATAACTTTAATCCCAGCATTTGGGAGACACAAGGAGGATCTCTAGGAGTTGAAGACCAGCCTGGTCTACATGGAGAGTTCCAGCCAGCCAGGGCTACATTCTGAGACCCTGCCCCAGGAGAAAAAAGAAGAGGAATTGGAGCCACACACATGACTTTTGTGGACTTGGAGACTTTGCTAATGTGAGGCCCTTTTTCCTGTGGTGAAAAGGACCCTGTATACTTATAAAATCTGCATTGAATTCATTATTACATTAATGTTCTTCTCTTTTGTTTACTTTCCTTTCCTTTTGTAATAAGACTTCATATAGCCCAGGCTTGAACAACTACATATTCTCCTGACTCCACACCCTGAACCTACACTGCCACACCGTTTTATTCCATGGTGACATTCACACCCAGAGACTCATGCATGCTAGCATCCCTAGACTCTTTTTATTTTTTTATATTTATTTATTTATTTATTTATTTATTATTTTTTTATTTTTTGGTTTTTCAAGACAGGGTTTCTCTGTGTAGCTTTGGATCCTATCCTGGCACTTGCTCTGGAGAGCAGGCTGGCCTTGAACTCACAGACATCTGCCTGCCTCTGCCTCCCAAGTGCTGGGATTAAAGGCCTGCACCACCAACGCCCAGCCTACTCTTTTGATTTTAAAAAGAAAATAAAAGTAAACATTTTCTTGGGTTTTAAAAGGTATTATGGACACTCGGTGTGATGCAGATCAACCCTTCCCTGCAATATATGCAGTTCTCAGAAATAATCCCTCAGACATCATCCTTTAGTCCCCATTTTACTGAAAGTTTTGCTCTTTAATTGATTTTACTTATTTGGTACGAAATCTTATTTTTAAGAGTTGATGGAATGGCAATAATCTCCATTTCCTAGAGGGAAATAAAATATTTTGTAATTAGTAAATTATCTGATTGGACAACAACTATGGCCTTGTTTTTTGTTTTTCTTTTAAAGATTTATTTATTTATTATGTACAGTTTTCTGTCTGCATGTATCCCTGCAGGCCAGAAGAGGGCACCAGATCTCACTACAGATGGTTGTGAGCCATCATGTGGTTGCTGGGAATTGAACTCAGGACCTCTGGAAGAACAGACAGTGCTTTTTACCTCTGAGCCATCTCTCTAGCTCTGTTTTTTGTTTTTCTTTCCTTTTTTTTTTTGTTTTCTGGAGTTTTTTTTTTCATTAAGTGCTGTTTTATTTTAAGATTTTATTTATTTGTTATGTATACAACATTCTGCCTCCATGCCAGAAGATTTCATTGGATGGTTGTGAGCTACCATGTGGTTGCTGGGAATCGAACTCAGGACCTCTGGAAGAGCAGCCAGTGCTCTTAACCTCTGAGCCATCTCTCCAGCCCATGTTTTTTGTTTTTCAAGACAGGGTTTTTCTGTGTATCTTTGGAGCCTCTCCTGGCACTCAATCTGTAGACCAGGCTGGCCTCAAACTCACAGAGATCCGCCTGCCTCTGCCTCATAAGTGCTGGGATTAAAGGCATGAACCACCAAAGCTCAGCCAACTATGGCCTTGTTTTAAGGTTTTATTGCTGTGTAGACACATCATGACCATGACAATTCTTATAAAGGAAAACATTTAATTGTGGTGGCTCACTTACAGCTCAGAGTTTTAGCCCATTATTGTCATGGTGGGAGGCATGGCAGCATGCAGGCAGACATGGTGCTGGAGAAGGAGCCCAGAGTTCTATATCTGGATCTACAGACAGCAAAAAGAGTGACAGTAGGCCTGGCTTGAACATTTGAAACCTCAAAGCCCACCATCCAGTGATGACACACTTCCTCCAGTAAGGCCACACCTACCGCAACAAGGCCACACCTCCTAATAGTGCCACTTCCTGTGAGTCTGTGAGAACCATTTTCTTTCAGAATATCACAGACCTCCATTTCAAAGAGTTTAGAGGCAAAGGACATAAAAACAACACGATTTACGAGGAAAATAGAGTAGCCTGGCCCATTTTGTTTATTTATTTCTAGTCTTTTGTTTTTTGGGTTTCATAAAAGATCTTACTTTAAAAGAAGGAGGTTATTTTTCATTTCTTTTTTGTTCAGTCTCAATCCCTGAGGGAGAACTCCAAGATTTGCGGTAGAAATGAAGAAACTACTTTAAAATGTAAAATCAAAGCTGTGTCATATTTTTAAAAAGAAGATGAGGGGGGGACAAGAAGAGGAGGCTGAGACAACAGGATGGAAAGTCCTTAGGCATCCTGGTCTTCAAAATCAATGTGTTGAAACTGACAAGGAAGAAGTTTATTGTGTAATAATTTTGCTAACATTGGTAATCCAATTCTAAGATAAGAGGAATAATAATGGCATAACATTCTGGCAGTGACCCTTTCTTTGTGTTTGTTGGCTATACCATTAAATGTGTTTTCCATATGTCTTTTTCAATTATCTTTAATTATAAAGTATCTAATTTTTCAAAAAAAAGGAAAGGTAAGAAGTACACGTAATCCCCCCCCCACCAAAGCACATGCCCTATTCTTTAAAGTTAAAAAAGCCAGAGGCACCTGCTTGTGTGCTAAGTGACTATTGAGGGTTGTTTGGAAGCAGTCTCCAGGGCCTGGCAAGATGTGACAGTTTTGCCCTTGTCCTCTCGTTGCAGAACATGCTCATGGAAATAGAACAGAAGGTGGTGGCTCTGTCACAGCTGTCTGTGCACAACGAGAACCTGCTGTTGGAGGGCAAGGCTCATACGAAAGATGAGGCAGAACAGCTGGCAGGGAAGCTGAGGATGCTCAAAGGGAGCCTCCTGGAGCTGCAGAGGGCCCTGCATGACAGACAGCTCCACATGCAGGTGAGTGAGTAAACACTGCTGCCCGAAGCCTGGGCTGAGGCAGCATTTGGGACATGCTCACCACTCTGTAAGTGACAGTGCTGGCAGAGAGAAACTGTTGGAGGCAGAAGCACTCATAGGTATGCACCTGCTTTCACTAACACTTCAGCTATCTGTTCATTTGCATTCTGCCTCTGGCCTGGGTTTCCAGCTAGGCCATTAACACTGATTGACGACATAGATGTGAGGATGTAGTTCTGCTATGACAATTTGCATTCCTTTTGGATTCTTCTTACAGTTCACTCTCTAGATGTTTTCAGACAGTTTTGTGTAGTTTGGGCATTCAAGTCCCCCCTTATGACAAGTAAAGGAATCTTCCCACTGCAGTAACATTGTGACTTCTGACAGTCAGATTTATTTTACATTGCCGGATTTTATTTACGTTTTCTGGACATTGTTTACCTGGCCTACCTCTCAACTTTCTTTTGATTTCACTTCTCTATGTCCTTACATTTTAGATTTTTCTATTATATAGAAGAACATCAGACTCTAGTCATCGGTCCACACTCCTTCCCTCCCTCCCTTCCTCCCTCCTTCCCTCCCTCTTCTTTCTTTCCTTCTTTCTTTTTTTCTCTCCACCCCCCCCCCGACAGTGTTTTTGTGTGTAACAGCTCTGGCTGGCCCTACGGAACTCACTTTGTACACCAGGCTAGCCTCAAACTCACAAGATCCGCCTGCCTCTGCCTCCTGAGTGCTGTGATTAAAGGTTAAAGGCGTGCACCTCCAGGCTCTGCCTCACACTTTTAAAGGACACGTTTAACCCATTTAAATTAGTTGTGATAGATGACTTATGTGAACTTTTACTTTACACTATTTGTCCCATCCTCCCCCTCTCTCTCCCCTTCTCTTAAATAGAGTCTTGCTCAGTAGCTGTGTAGCCCGGAACTCACTGTGTAGAACCCATTGACGAAGTGAACAGTGCGTGTGTGCATGTGTGCACGTGCACGTGTGTGTGTGTGTGTGTGTGTGTGTGTGTGTGTGTGTGTGTGTGTGTATGAATGAACATTCCAGCCAAAGGGAAAGCCAGTGTGAAGACTGCCAGATAGGATTACACCTGGTCTGCCCAAAGCTGGTAAGCTGGTATGGCTGGAGTGGAGTAACGGGAACAAATGAAATTAAATTATGTCTTAAGTGGTTTAGTTTGCTCTAGCAAAACTTTCCCTAACTGAGCAGTTTATAAACAGAAAACACAGTGCATACTGTTCTACAATCTGAGTGTCTCAGATGAAGATGCCAGATAGCGTCTAGGATCTGCTGTCAGGGATCTTCTCTTGAGGGAAATGCTCAGAGGTAGCATTCCTCCCTGTGTCCTGTGTGGAGAGGGTCTCATATGGCATTTCTCCCTGCGACCTCCTGTGGAGGGAGAGGCTAGCTGTCTTTCTGGGCTCTCTTTTATAACAAAGATAACTTCAATGGCAGTCATCTCCCAAGGTTCTGCCACTTAGTATCACAGCAGGGTTCAGGCTTCAGTAATAGTAAAGGACCTGGGACAGCATCACTGGTGTCCTAGAGTCTTTAATCTTAACTGTGAGAGAAGTGAAAGGCCACTGTTGGGGACTAGAGGAGTGACATGATAATAAGTCTATACCCACAGTTGGACTACTACGGTAGAAGCTGAAGGACAAATAAGAGGCAGTCGTGGCACAGGGCATGGAGGCACAGGGAGCCCTCCCCTCCTCTCCCCTTCCCTTTCCATCCCCCCCCCTCCTTTCTTTCCTCTACCTTCCCATCCTTCTGCTGGTCCCTTATGCCAGGATCAAATGCCCTGTGGATCTCAGCATCCACTGTGCCCCTGAGCTGCACTCTTAACCCATGTTTCTCAATGCTCTTGTGTATATGTGGAGTATAATACCTGTTGTCCCATTTATTTGATTTTGTTGTTTTACAAAGCGAGCTGGCATTGGTATCAGCGAAGACCCAATCTCTCCCTTTCTCCCAGACAGACAGACATGAAGAAATGCAGACTTAAGGACAAGTGAAAATATTTCTTGGTTTACAAGGTGTATATCTTCATAAGAGGCTTAGGTCATTTTTCATACAACGTCACCTATGGAAGGAGGTCCGTAGGTGCTATATAAAACAGCAAATTGTGGTCCTGGAGAGATGGCTCAGTGGTTAAGAGCACTGGCTGTTCTTCCAGAGAAATCCAGTTCAATTCCCAGAACCCACATGGCAGCTCGCAACTGTCTCTTAACTCCAATTCTAGAGTACCCAACACCCTCACACAGACACACATACAGGCAAAACACACATGCACATAAATAAATGTTAAGAACCCAAATTGCCTTATGAAGAAGTGGTTCATCTTGGGTTTAGCATTTCCCAATTCTCACTGCTCTTCCAAGGAGTATTTCAGGAAGAAAAGTGGGGACTGTTCTACTTTTCCAAAACAAACATCCCAGGTGGCCCCACCCTGTGAGTCTCTAGTGACAGAAACCACACTTCTTCCTCCCTAGGCAGAAGGGAAAGCCATTATCAGACCCCTGGAAAGCAGTTTCCAGGCTTGCATTCCTCCTGCCAGGACCACCTCACCCCAGGGGAAAGAGCTGAAATAGGAACTGGATTATTAGTCTTCTTTGCTTGCTGAGGGTCAAGTCAGCTTTTAAAATGACGATGTGAGTCAGAAAAATCCACTAAAAAACAGCAGATATAACAACACAGAAAACACATTCTAAGGGACAGTTTTTTGATGCTGTCATTTTTTCTTTAATTTTCATCGGAAACTGTGGACTTGCTTAGTCAGACAGATGAATTCTTAGAATTTGAAGGTCCATCTGTGCATATAAACAGTGGTGAGGGCTCACATTCCAACTGTTGGTTTGTTTTTTTCTTTTCTTTTTTACAAGCCCAAGCTTTCTGAGGTAATTTGAAAGAAACAGTGACAGTCCACCGAGAACAACTCGTAGAAGTATGCATGAGTTCTGAGTCTTGAAGGGAGGGGATCTTCTGGATGGATTCTGGGAAACGGACCTTGACTGAATTAAATAGCAGAGAGGAAGTGGCCTGGATCCCAGGAGGGAAGATAAAGAAGGTCATGGCCTCCAAGACCAGTACTTTGTAGCTGTAGCTGAAATGGCTGTGATTGGGGACTTCATTCTGGTGTGCTGACTCCTTGGGGAGTGCCACTGTATGTCTCATTGTCATTCTGCAAGATTTCTAAGTTGCTGTTTCTCTCTTGCCTTCATGAGCCAGGCTCTCTGACAGCTCATGCTGCAATGGTGGTACTCCCGCAATGGTGATGCTCCTGAAATGGTGGTGCTCCCACAATGGGGTGCTCCTCTGTCTCCTGTGCCAGCAGCCCACTCCCCTAAACTCATAACTTTCCAGAAAATCACTATTTATCACTGGGAGGAATTTCTTGGAAGGAGGGATGTTGTTAGTGAGGTGTGGTGAGTCACCCACTATGAGCACATGGCTTGCAAGATACAAATAGCATCTTTTAGACTAAGGGCGTCCGTACTGCTCTACCTGATCCAGCGTCTCTAGTTGGCAAGCTGCATTCTGCTAAGGAAAAGGAAGTGCATGCCCAGCACATAGGAGCTCACATGGGGATGTCGAATATGCCTTCTACATTTGATGGCTTGCTTCATTGTACCAAAGGGGCGGAGACAAAGATGACAGTCTTGTCATCTCAGTCATTTCTCTGTTGTCTTACCATCACTGTGATGAAACACCATGACCAAAAGCCACTTGGGGACAAAAGGGCTTATTTAATTTATGCATCCTGAATCACATTTTATCATGGAGGGCAGGGACTTAATCAGGACAGGAACCTGGAGGCAGGAACTGATACAGAGGCCATGAAGCAGTGCCTGTTACTGGCTTGTTCTTCATGGCTTGATCAGCCTGCTTTATTGTAGCACTCAGAACCACTAGTCCAGTGATGGCACTATCCACAGTGGGCTGGGCCCTCCCACAGCCATCACTAATTAAGAAAAATTCCTCACAAATTTGCTTACAGCCTTATCTTAGGAAGGTATATTTTAGGAAGACTTTTTTTTTTCCCTGATTGGGGTTTCTTCTCCTCAAGATGACTCTAGCTTGTGTCAAGTTGACATAAAACTAGCTGGCAAAACTATGAGTCATGAGACTGGAGGAAAGAAAACACAAGTATAGAAAACCAAAGCTCTTTCCCTGGAATGGTGAGTTACAATGCTGAAACGAAGAGAGAAAGCATGGCCTCCATCCTACTTGTGTGGACCAAAGGACAGTGGCTCAGCTCTCTACCTCATCAGATTGTAGGCATGGTAGCGTCTTCCGTGCTGATGTTCTCAGTTATGTTTCTATGTGGGGGCATGGTTGAACTATAGCTGTTCCCTAGTTCTGGGATACCCTCCCCTAGTTCTGTGCCAGGTTTCTTAGTTTTCCATGCTCCCTGCAGCTGTCCTCTGAAAAATGCTCTCTGAGCAGCCTAACAAGCCTTTCCATCTCTTTCTGTTCCTTGCCCCCTCTCCCTCTCTTCTGGCACTTGTATATAACCCAGCCTTTCTTGGAGGTTGGTCAGTTGTCTGCATCCCCTTGTCTGGCTGCTTCTTTGCAAAGAACACTGGCCTCCAAGATCAGAATCTCATGCATATTTATTTAATGAATGAAAGGTTTATAAAGAAACCATCTGATCTATCCCTTCACATATAAATATGGTTGAAAAGAAAGAAAGGCTTTGACTCTCAACTAGTCTCAGTGTAATGCATGGGACTAGTCAGACTTTTCCCATCCCATTAGAATAATGAGGCAAGAAGGCTGCCTGGGTGATGAGTAACTGCCTTCTTGCTTTTTCCCTAGCCAAGCTTTACCAAGGCAGCAATGAAGCAGAGGGTGGGTGGGGTAGTCATGGCATAAAGGGAGGAAGCAGCATGTTTTAAGATTGTCACTTGTAACTATCACACCAAGTCCCTTTAAAATCCCCCAGGTAATTTGTTGAATTTGTTAGATGCAAGCACTGTGCTTGAAGTTGATTGACACTTCATTATGCTACTTTTCATGGCACTGAAAAACTCTTGTTTGAACAGGACCTATTTATTATTTGAGGGGTTGACAGGGTAGGGTGGGGTGTGTTCCTCTGTTATGTAGCCCTGGCTGTCCTGGAACTTGCTATCTAGAACAGGCTGGTCTTGAACTCAAAGAAATCTGTCTTTCTTTGCCTCCAGGATATTAGGAGCTATTTGTTATACAGAAGTATATAAATAGATTTTTTGAATACCAGACATTCACAAATCAAGAGTTCTAGAATTAATTCAAGCCTGGGGGACTCATAGGCAGAGCCAAAAGTCCCCCTTTGCTTTCTTTCTTTATACGTTTATTTTACAAGCTTTTTATATTTTTAATTTTTAGAGCTTTTTACATTTTTACTTAATCTTTGAAACTTTCAAACATGTATACAATGTACAATATTTCTGGATCATGTTTAGTTCTTACTCCCCTTCTCAGCTGCCCCTCCCAACTTGATGTCCTGGTTTTTGTTTTTTGTTTGTTTTACTTTTTATTTATACTTTAACCTACCAAATCCAGTTACTGCTGCCTTCTTATGAAATGAAGTGTTGTCGAAGGTGGGGTGGGTCAAGGCTTCCTCTCTCTTGAAGCACTTTGGGGATGGTTCTGGTGGTTGGCCACTTCCTGCAACTCTTGAAAGACAAGTTGAAGGAGTGGGGGTGGGGTGGGGAGGAGGGGCGTAGAGGAGTTCAGCCAGCTTGGAAGCTCTTGTTGCATGTTACTGAGCATCCCAGCACTGTGACTAGATGCCTGACAGAAACAACTTCAGAGATGAAAGATGTGTTTTTGCACACGTTTTCAGACATTTGGCTCCATGACCTGATGTTAACATTAGTGACACTGTGGCCTATGGGCATGACAAGGCCAAGCTTTTCAACTCAGGCAAGCAAAAAACAAAAACAAAAACAAAAACAAAAACAAAAACAAAAACAAAACAACAAAAACAAAAACAAAAACAAAAACAAAACAACAAAAACAAAAACAAAAACAAAAACAAAACAAAGCAAAAAAACCAGAGAGAATAGTAGGATGGGGCCAGGACCAAGATATGCCCTTCAAATGCCACCAATGACCGTCTTCCTGTAACTGGGCTGCTTTTTGGTTGGTTTCATCACTTCCTAATTGTCTTCTTAGATTTTGAATCCGTGAGTGGATTAAAACTATGGCTGGGGACGGAGCATTCATGATCTAGACACATGGAGAAGAATGCCTTACTATTCCTCCCGTGTGCTCTCCAGCCAGCCAAGTTGACAGTCACGATTAACTATCATGCTTTGCTTGTCCTGAATTCTAGAATGTCAACCTAGCTGTGGGCTAGGCATTGGTCTCGTTGGTTGGCAACCTTCTAGAAAACTTTTTGAGAAGCAAGTACTTGCTATTGTAACCATTGTGGATACCACATGACCTGGACAGATGGTGGCAGGGCAAAGCTTTTAGAGGAAGGATAGCAAATTTTGACATGTAATGATTATCTGGGTAACATTTTGTTTTTGTGTGACTTTAAAAATTTCATAAAAGGGTTGTTTTATACTTTTTGTGAAAAAATTGGAAAAAAATATTTGATGACTACTTTGGAAAAAGATGGGCTTCCCTGTAAATACTTCTGGGCATGACCATCTGTTTATTCTTCTTGTTCCTAAAAATGTCACAACTTAGATGGGCTTGGTGTTACTGTCTTTTAAAAATATGTGGTGTCATGTCCAAATGGCAGTGGTTTGAAGTCTATACAAACCACACTAGAGGAGTCCTGTATCCACAGGGGTGAGCTTTTCCCGTGGGTGGCATGGCCCTCAATCCTCATCTTATTCCATTCAAAGCAGGGAGCTACACAAGAGAAAGAAGAGAGCGATGCTGACCTCACAGCCACTCAGAGCCCTGGAGTACAGGAATGGCTGGCCCAAGCCCGTACCACACGGACCCACCAGCGGCAGAGCAGCCTCCAACAACAAAAAGTAAAGCATTTTCTACTTTCCTCTACATGGTAGTTCTGTCATTAGAAGAACTTGAGGGGTGGGTGTTTCTATAGCCAAGATTTTTTTCTACAGATTTTTTTATTTGAATTAGAAACAAGATTGTTTTACATGACAATCCCAGTTCCCTCTCACTCCCCTCCTCCCCTTCCATCGCCCCCCCCAACTAAAACCCTACCTATCTCATATTCTTTCTGCTCCCCAGGGAGGGTGAGGCCTTCCATAGGGGGGTCATCAGAGTCTATCTTATCCTTTGGGATAGGGCCTAGGCCCACCCCCCATGTGTCTTGGCTCAGGGAGTATTCCTCTATGTGGAATGGGCTCCCAAAGTCCACACCTATGCTAGGGATAAGTACTGAACTACTACAGGAGGTCCCGTAGATTTCCGAGGTTTCCTCACTGAAACCCATGTTCCTGGGGTCTGGATCAGTCCCATGCTGGTATCCCAGATATCAGTCTGGGGACCAAGATCCCCGATGTTCAGGTCAGCTGTTTCTGGTGAGTTTCACCAGCCTGATCTGGACCCCTTTGCTCTTCACTCGTCCTTCTCTGCCACTGGATTCCAGTTCACTTCAGTGATTAGTTGTGTCTGCTTCTACTTCCACCAGTTTATAGCCAAGATTTTTATGAATGTAGTTTTGTTTTATTTTCAATTCTGGGAATGGAAACCAGGCCAAGCAAGTGCCCCATTGGATAACCTTCTAAGCATCATCGTAGTTCTTCACTGATTGACTTTATCTTGTCTCTGAATGAAGCAGGACATACTAGCCATTTTGGCATGCGTCTCCATAACTGATGGGATGGTGGGATGGCTGGTCAATGTCAAGCTGGCATGTGTTTAAGGTTACACCATATGGTTCAGCTGTAACCCGCCTCCTCAGGGACACTTTGCTTTGTGATTTGACCTCGTTTGCATCTATTCTATAATAATTAGAAAAAGCCCCAGGGAGGCCTACGAGAATGGGCAAAGCTCTGAAATATATACATTTTCTTAAAGAAATGAAATGTGTTTTTTACTTTCGAGTAGATAGACACCTCATGAGATCAGATCGTAGATGGTTATGATACAAATGATTGCTGTTGATTAATTTGTTTGAAGACACTAACTCTGTGTAAAAGGCACACTTAAGTTTTTCACTTGTCAAATGTGAACTTAAACAAATTTACTGTGAATGAGGAAAAGGTCAAATCAGATCCGCTGACAATGCAGCTAATAAAGTGGAAGACTGTCTCCATGTTTTAGGGAGTCTGTCCTGGCTACTCAAGACAGCATTGACTTGGACAGGAAGGAACATAGTTCACCACACGGGGGCACTATTGTCCAGCGAAAAATTTCTGTTCCTGTTGCCTTTTCCATATACTCAGAGCAGGGGAATTTGCCTACTTCATGCTTTTTACACCGTGCACGGGTTTACAGTCATTCCAGATGTTCTGTAGATAGACAGTGATTGGCGACAGTCCTCTGAAGTGACAGCAGTGTTTGTGTTTGTGTTTGTGTTTGTGCAGGAGTTCGAACAGGAGCTAGCTGAGCAGAAGAGCCTTCTCCGCTTAGTAGCCAGTCGAGGAGAGGAGATTCTCACCCAGCATTCCACAGCCTCAGAGGGCTCAGGCGGCCTTGGGTATGTTTTGAAAGTCTGCAAGCTTGTCTTCTTGTTGTGTTTCCCTGTTGCTTGAAAAGCTGAGCAAATCTTGCTTCAGTTACTTACCAGTCTTGCACGCAAAGTGCTCACCCCTTTCACTCTGAGACAGTAAACGCACCTGCATGGCCAGGCATTTTGTTGTGTGGATAGAAAAATGGCTAGTAATGAGGACCAACGAGTTTACCTTCCTGGATGCCCCCCACATCCAGCCCCAGGGACAACCGTTTTCTGAATCAAATGGTAAATATGATATCAAATTGGATCTATGGTGTTTCTTAGTGGTGACTATACTTGAGCACGGAACATTTTCCCCTCAATAACCCACCTGAGACTTCCTTTAAAAAAAAATCCGATATGTGTACAGCTAAAGTGATATGACTCTGTGACAGGTCTCTCCCTATAATTTCTCCGTGGAAAGTTTCTGAGCCCAGGGACCTGGCTTGGAGTGGACACTTTGAAAGTCTTACATATGGAAAGATAAAATATTAGAAAAGAAAAAGTAGAGTATTTGCAAGGTGGAAAGATGAAGGGACTGGAGCTAGGGACAGACCTGTATTTTGAGCCACTCACCTTGGGCCTTGGCTTGCTTATTAATACAGTTAGAATAATAAGCAGCAACCAGCATTGCAAAAACATTTTGATAATGATACAAAGAAAAACTCCTTTTAAAATCTGAGCTACCCCCACCCCCTTTTTGAGATAGGGTTTCTCTGTGTAGCCCTGGTTGTCCTGGAACTCACTCCGTAGACCAGGCTGGCCTCAAGCTCACAGAGATCGACCTGCCTCGGGCTCCTAAGTGATGTGATTAAAGGCGTGTGCCACCACCAAAGCACTAAAACACTTAAAAAAAAAAACCCAAAAAACAAAAAAACCTGTGTGCCCATATGTTGCCTGTGCTTGTGTTTCTTATTTTCAGCAGAAATAACATGAGAGAGAATATGTTAGAACGATATTATAAGATATTACTTATAATGCCAAATAATCAGAAAGGCAGGAGTACCTATGAGCATCAAGGAAAAAAAAATGTGCATACCTGCAATCTTAACAAAATGATAGCATCAGAAATCAGACAAGTGGCAACTAAGGGACAATGTGACTTAAATCAGCAGATGTGGGGACCAAACTCGTTTTGTAGTTTAGTCAACAGGGACACTGTACTTCTGAGTGTCAATACATCCAGGTATCATGGAATACAGCATTTTTACACTTAGGTCACCCCAAATCTGTGGAAGTTGTGTTAAATCGTAAGAGAGCTAAGACAATCACTACTGTTCACCATGTGGAGAAAGATCTTTATCAGCAGTAAAGTCCCAAACAAGGAAACCCTTCTCCAGGCTGGGAGAGCAGGGGGTATCTTCACTCTCTGTACCTGCTCCCAAGTCCTAAGGTATTCACACATTACTCATAGTTTTTTTGTGTCTTTTACTTCTGTGTTTTTACATAGAAGACAGTCAGTGCTGTCTGCTTGGCAGACAATTGGTTCCACAAAAGAGCTGTGAGAGTCTTGTGCAACCTTTTTTTGGTTAAAAAAAAAAAAAAGTTGCTGTTTTTTCCCCCCTTCTCCTTGGCCTTCAGGGTTGGCTGGAACCCAGACAACAGATACGCATCTACGAGTGAGTTGCTCTTGCAAATATTAATCACATGTAAAAAGAAATGTATCCTGCTGGGCTAGCTTTCTGGGGGAAGATTCACTTAAAAAAATACAACTCAAAAATTCTTCAATGGTTACATAAATTCCTTAGAAAAATTACCCTTCAGTGTCTTTGAGTCCAGTTCACATGCTCTTGTCAAGTCTCTAGTTATTTCTCTGGCTACAAAGGAAAATGAACTGGGAATTCATTGACATGAAAGAATATTTTCCCATGAGAATAAAAAAGACCATGTTCTAATTTAAAACTAATTGCTCTATTTTTATATGTGTCACTCATGAAATATAAGAATATGGATGGTAACTATCCCCTTGGTTTGATGCTGAATTTTCATTCAAACAGGTGCAACACAGAAAAAAATACATTAAAGAAATTTATTTTCATAAGAGCTTTGAAACTTTCTTTTCCATTTGAAAGTTTTTTTAAAAAAAAGAATTCCATACAATTATAGGTACTTTTTTCAATATTAATTTTTAAAATCAGTGTACGTTAACACACAGATTATCAGCCCCCACATACTGAATGGTTTCCGTTCATCACATACAACTGTAGGCATCATGTATGTTAATATTTAATTTTCAAAATTGCATAACATGAGCCGAGCAGTGGTGGCCCACACCTTTAATCCCAAGACTTGAAAGGCAGAGGCACTCAGATCTCTGTGAGTTCAAGGCCAGCCTGATCTACAGAGAGAGTTCCAGGACAGCCAGGGCTACATAGAGAAACCCTGTCTCAAAAAACCAACCAAACAAACAAAAACCCTGCAGAACATGGATGCCATGTTCATTCCTATGTTGAGAAAACTGAGACTCAGCTGTGACACAAGTTACCCAATGTCACACAATGCCAACTGCTGTCCTAGCAATTCTGCTTGTCTGCCCTGTTTTCTGAAAGCTGAGGATACAGGGCCTCGTGGATGCCAAGGTAAGTACCATGGGTACCCTCTCCCAGCCTCGGATCAGATTCCTACTCTGAAAGCCTTACTCTTCCACCCAGCACTGCTTCCGTCCCCTCATCTGTCCTTCCACAGTGTGTCCTGAATGTCCCTTAGACTTCTGGTAAAAGCTCTCACTAGAATAATGTTTTCCAGATTTTGAATCAATTTATAGGCTATTTGTCAAAGGACCCTGGTTGGTGGCCATAGTGTGCTTTCTGATTGTGTAGGTTGCATTAATTTTATTTCAAACTTAGCCATTTTCAATGGGTTTGCAGTACTCGTATGTTTGTGATTCAGATATATGAAGACAAATATGCTTATAATCGCAATGTTTCTATTTTAATTTATATTTTTTTAAAGTTCAAGCCAATGATTAAGATAATTTTTGAAGCCAGGTCTATTAATTACCAATTAAGTATCAATTTCCTTCTTCCTTCCTCCTTCTTTCTTTCTTTCTTTCTTTCTTTCTTTTTTTCTTTCCTTTTTTTGCACACATTGTAATCTTAGATTATTTATTCTTCTAATAGTGAAAAACCTGCTGTGTTATCCCAGGAATTGGGGATGGAAGGCACAAAGTCATCTGCTGAAGACCAGATGAGAATGAGATGGGAAAGCCTCCATCAAGAGTTTAGTGCCAAGCAGAAACTGTTACAGAATGTTCTGGAACAGGAACAAGAGCAAGTGGTATCAAACGTTTTCTTTCTTTACTTCCCCTTGGGTTTGTGAAACAGGGTCTGGTGTGACCCAGGTTGCCCTGGAACTTGCTATGTAGCTGAGGGTTGCCTTGCACTCCTGATCCTTCTACCCCTGCCTCTCCAGACCTGGGATTATAAACACAACACCCCCACCCCTATGCTCTACATAAATTTATCTTATATGTATTAACTAATATAAGAGGTACACAGTTTATGCTCAGGGAGTAAAATTGGATAGTAATCTGCATTTTCATACTAATTCTGAAATAGACATGAAGGAAGTTATTCATCCTGTATTTTCCTTAACAAGGCATGTTTCACATTTCCCTCAGTGCTTGTCTTCCTATGTGAAAGTTCACCTGATTTCTGTGTAGTATTTTTCCTCAAAAATGATTAATATCTGATTTCTCCTTAGCATGGACCATTAAAGTTCATTTTAAATTTTCAACATTGAAAATTATGGTTGCAACCCAAGGAGGGGCTTTCTTCAAATCTGAAACTAAACTGCCAGGTCACTCCACTTTCCATCGGTACTTCCAGGATTGAATACTTTCAGAAGGTTCTAATGAGAAACATATTGGAGCCTTAGAGGATCTTGAAAAGGACAAAAAAAGGGGTGGGGTGGGGGAGGCCAGTGGTCAGGTAGGGCAGTTATTGGCCCATCTGTAAGGCTGGTTCCTGGGATGGATATTGTGTGATATTAGGCTTGCTTCCACCAAGCATTCAAAACCCAAGGGAACTGAGTAGGCAACAGAAAGTTCCAGAGAAGTAAAATTATTGGTTCAATCTTTACAGGAGCCAGGAATCAAGAGGGAGATCAGATGAACTTGAGGGTTTAAAGGGGTGGTGAATAAGCCTGAGACCCGGGTATGCCTGATGCCTACAACAGCTGTGGCTCAGGAGCACTGGGACACTGGCCCAAGCCTCTGTTCTGAGTTAGCAGTGTCTGTCTAGCTCACTCTAGGACAGTGAATTTTTTCCAGTGGGGTAAGTCCTAGGGTCTCTGCTGATGGTTCTGAAGTATCTGCTGTTCTCACCACTCTGTCCAGGACTGGGTAAGGGACAGAGCAGCTAGCTGCACACGTAACAAAGGATAATAGTTGAACAGGGATGGAAAGGTGCTGACAAGCACACACTGTAAAGAGGATGTCACATGACAGGGATATCTGAAAGGAGATGGCCTAATGGTGGCAGTGCATCCTGGGAGCCTTGCCATTCTTCCTTGAGAGCTGTGCATGCATATTCTACCTCCTGGAAACTCCTGGCAGGCCACACCTTCTGGGTCTTCACCCTCCTTCTCTGGCCAGTGAGTCTGCAAGAACTGTCATCTGGCTGAAAGCATCCCATTCTCAGATGTTTCCGTGCCACAGTCACATCCACCCTGATACTGATAGTCTGTGTCTTTCACACAGGCCTTTCCCTCTCTCTTTGCCTGAATTAGCCCCCTCCTTACAAGCCTAGTCAAATGTTTCTCACTTGCAGAGATGGGCTCTCTGAGGTAGACCTCCTGAGTCTGACGTCTGGCTTGCCTTCATGCCATAGTATTTTCTGTTCTTTGAGATGTAAGCGAAACGGACAACCCTGGATTAGAGATTTCATTCTTTCACTTATGTTTCATGGCAAACAAACCTATTGCATTTTCATGCTTATTTTATCCCTGCTTATTTTCCATCCTTTAGATAAAGTCCTAAGCGTACTGTTCCCTTTGTCCACTCAGGCCACAGCACCTACATGACTCCCCTAGCACCAAACACTGAGCTCATCATGGACACCTCCATTTCCTGTCAGTGTTGGTAACCAGCAGTTTCTACACTGAGCTTACTAGACCCGTCTTGTCCTTCGCCACTGTCTTTCTTCTGTTGACACCCGGGCTCTTGTCCAAGTTTGGGTTCATGTTTCTGACCCCATTGGCCCTCCGGCTTACAAGAGGAAATCCCCAGCTGTCCTTTTCTCCAGCTTGTTTTGCACTTTCTTTTGGGAAGCACTGGTTTGCTTCTGACATGAGGAGTGAACAAGTGGACAAGAAGTCAGAGTGCCTGCTTCTCAGAGTCAAGGGAGAGATGCATCTACAGACCCAGTTTATGGGTAGATCTTGGCATGTTTAGCAGGACTTAGATGGGAGGAGCTCTATGTTCGCTTGGGGAGAAGGTGGAGGCCTCAGCATCTGAGGATCTGAGAGAGGCGATGCTGGATCTGTATGTTCCACAGTCGTTCCTTTTTCACACCTGCTGACTGGCAACTTTAGACATTGGATATACTTATGACTCTCAAATGAAAGAGCTCACCCAATTTGGGCAACCTGAAATTAAGAGCTCAGAATCCATGGATTCAGTCTCTCAGATTGGATTCTTCTTCATCTCTATCTGTAGAGGATTCAGTGCCTCTAGGCAGACACATTTTTGTTGATGTAGGGTAAATATGGGTCTACCTTCTGAAAGCCTGTAACCCAACCCAGGAACTATGTCACACCTTCCTGAGACTGTAAGTAGCTATGGCAGGTTCCACTCTACAAACAGAAATCCCAAGGAAAGACAGGTTAAAATAATAGTGGAAAGTCACTATAGCAGACACAACATGCAAGGTTGCAACAATTAAAGAGAGGAAGATACGCTGGGTGGCAGATGTTCAAGTAACAGGATGGGGTAGCCTAGCATGCTCACAGGGTGATGGGTAGTTAGCCTTAAAAGCTGAGGATGAAGTGGCTTTGGGAAATCAAAGGACTGAGTTTGATTGGAGATGTCCCCAAAGCATTTGAATGTCTGTCCTGGCGTGGTCCTCATGGGAATCCAAAAGCAGTTGGAGGAGAAGAGGTGAACATTAAAAGGAAAGATCCCAGTCTTTGTCAGGTTGTTAAAGGTAGAGCTAAAGCTGGGAAGACATTTCAGGAGGAGCTGTGTAAACATTCAGGCATTCTCACCATTGTTTATTTTTTCTATCCCATCATTAAAAATCATGGTCATTGCTAGATCTGGCCACTGAACTCAGTAATGTGGTATGTTACAAAATTCATATTTCCCCAGATGAGGCTTCCAGTACCTACCTAATGTATACTTACAACTTCGAAAACTGTATCTGACTCATTGACTCTTAAGTAAGCCGCCCCTGTTTGCCTGCAGCTTTACAGCAGTCCAAATAGACTCCTGGCAGGGGTGCCACTGTTCAGAGGGGAAGCTCAGACTCAAGATAAGTCTTCAGTGACATCCTTGCTGGATGGACTAAACCAGGCCTTTGAGGAGGTGTCATCACAGGTACGGCTTTGACATCATGTGCTTATCTTGGTCTTGTCCTTCTGGGATTGGTTCCTTTGGTGTCCGAAAAATTGTTCCATCTCTTCACATGACAGTTGATACCCAACATTAGTGATGAGTCCTGATGAGTGCTGAATTGTGAATCCCATTTTGCCTGGTATTTCTCTGTGATTACTGATAACACTGTAATTCAAATGGCTTTTTATTGAAAGATGGGTTGGGAGTAGAGGAGCGCAGGCAGAATCTCTGGTAGCCAAAGTTGTCCTCAAATTGGCTATGTAGCCAAGAATGACCTTAAACTGCTCATCTTCCCATCTTCACATCCTAAGGGCTGGGATTATAAGTGTGTACCATTACACCTGGATTAAAACTGATACTCTTATCAGTTTTGCTAGTCTCCATCTGTTGTCTCTTTTCCAGGGCGGAGAAGCAAATGGACAGAATATCCAGTTGGAGCAGAAGTTGTATGATGGAGTCTCAGCCACTTCAACCTGGTTGGATGATGTTGAAGAGCGTTTATTTGTGGCCACAGCACTTTTGCCAGAAGAAACAGAAGCTTGTCTGGTCACCCAGGAGGTAAGGTTGACGATTTCTGTCTGTGCATGGAATTTCAAAGCAATTACAATCTTGGTGATCGGTAATTAACTTTATATATGAAGAATATTAAGAACAAGACAGCTTTAATAAAGTGCCATGGTGTGTCTCCCAAGAAGTATAGTATAGAATTGTTTAAATATGAAAAAAGCTCTCGAAAGTGTGTACACTGTGCACTTTCGTCCTTTTTAATGTGTGTATGAGAGGAGGAGAAATGGGGAACTCTGGGTTATTGTACCACTCAAATCCTCCCTGTGTGAAACATGAACTTTAGGGAATGAGTTCCTAGACAGACTTTTTAAATTTAATTTTTAGCAATGCATCTTTTTATTATCTAATGATATAAAGCCCCAAGAAAAAAATCTCTGCAAGAAGAATTTCCCTGCAATCTATAGAAGTTCCGGAAGGAGATTCAGTTGCATCGGGTGTAGCTCTTCCTAAGTGGGAGGTTTCTAGGGGAAGATGACTTGATTGACAGAGGTCCAAGTGAGGAGGTAAAGCTTTGTTTTCATCAACCCCAGGCTCTTGCCAAAGACATTAAAGAAATGTCTGAAGAAATGGATAAGAACAAGAACTTGTTTTCCCAAGCATTCCCAGAGGATGGTGACAACCGGGATGTCATTGAAGACACCATGGGTTGTCTTTTGGGCAGATTATCCCTTCTGGATTCAGTAGTGAATCAGCGATGTCATCAGATGAAGGAACGACTCCAGCAAATCCTCAATTTCCAGGTAAATGAGAGAACACGAAGGGTTTGTGCCATTTTCAAGGAAGAACAACAATCATCAACAAAGAGTATCTTACACACGTTCATTATGTGTTGCTGCCTGTGTGTAATGGGGTATCTGAGGGTGTGCATGTGCATGTATGTGGTATGTGCATGACTGTTGAGGACTAGGGCAACTTTGGGTGTCGTGCCTCAGGAATTATCCAACTTACAATTGTTTTTAACTTTTGTTGCATTTCTTTATTTAATATGCGTGTATGGGGGCAGGAAACATGCATGCACCCTGGTATGAATGTTGAGGTCAGAGGACAACTCATGTGTGTCCCTTCTCTCCTTTTACGGTGTGAGTCTTGGAGGAAGGAACCAAGGTCACCACACTTGGGAGGACAGTGTCTTTGGCTACTGAGCCATCTTTCTGGCCCATCCAGAAAGCTCCCTTGCTTTGGAGCAAGGTCTCTCGCAGGGGCCTGGGACTCACTGTTCTGAGGGTAGGCTGGCTGCCCAGTGAATCCCAGGCATCTAATCTGTGACTCCCCAGGGCTGGGGATTACAAGTGCATTGCTGCATTGAGTTTTAGACATGGATTCTGAGGATCAAACTGAGGTCCTTGTGTTTGCCCTGTGAGCACTTAATGTCTGAGCTGTCTCTCAGCCCATCTTATAAACATGTTTTAATGGGTAATGAAGAGCTACAGCATTTCAGAAAACCAGGTGGGCTGAACTAAAGATCTAGAGAGCCAAGTTTCATGCTATTAGAATTGGAAGGTTGAGAAAACCACTCAGTCAAACTAAGAGTTGAATAAAAGTTTAAATTCAGCCAATAAAAGCCAAATTATCATCTATTGTAATTTCCAGTTGGTAATAGTAGAATTTAATTATTGTTCCCAAAGAACATGCGGGAGGTGCTGGAATATAGAAAACACCCGAACATTACTACTCAAGAGACTTGGAAATTCCTTCTACCTCTTTCAAGATTACACTGGAAACTTATTGCATTACTTTCCAACCCCAACTCTTCAGATTTATTAACTTTTACTGTCATATTAGAATCCCAGGGCCAAATATGTAATTATGTTCTTATGAAAGATTTTCTGTGTCCAGTCACTGGGAAAAAACGGGCAGGTCACTGATAAACTTTTAGTGTTGAAGGCTTTCATGCCCAATAAAAAACACCCCGTCTAGAATACTTAAGTTTTAACTGCTGCTGCTTTTCTGCAACATAGGAGATTTGATGTAATTTTTGATTTGTAAAAAAAAGTTACTATCAAGTGTCACATGTTGCTTTTACCAAGAAACATGGAACATTCTACATAGTCACATAAAGGAAAGATTACTACCACTTTCAAATAATCTAGAGCCTTAAAAGTATATAATGAGCAATGGCGAGATGGCTCAGTAGGTTAAGGCACTTGCTGCCAAGCCCAAAGACCTGAGTTTGATCCCTTCAATCTACTTGGTGGAAGGACAGAACTGACTCCTACATCCTGTCCTGTGACCTTGACACGTGCCATGGCACACATACATAAAATGAATAAATAGCACAACAAAATATATATTTACTAAAATTTTCATACGAATCATTTTTTAAATCTCTGTAATATATCTTCTAGTAAATGTTTTTCAAACAGAATGGAAATTAAAAATAAGTTCTCTGAAGCTAACATCATGTGTTCATTTGTTTCATTGGCTTTGTTTGCTCACCTTAGTTTTAAAGCCAATCCTACAAGCTGGGCTTTAACTCACTATGTAGGCCAGGCTCTCTGGTCTCAACAGGCATGTGCTTCTATGCTAAGCTTAAAACTCCAGCTTTGTCACTTGCTGCTGTATAATCTTAGTTGCTTACTAATCTTGAGCCTCAATGTCCTTGACTATTAAGTCATACCCACAGCCACTGCCTCACAGTATTGGAAGGCTTCAATAGTTCAAATTTGAGATCAGTGGATCCTAATACAAAACAAGCACTCAAAGAATTTTACAATCATTGATTTTGCTACTGAGTAGTTTTAAAAAATATATAAAGGATCTAAAGTCAGTAAAAAGTTACATTACTTCTCCAGGGTTACTCAGCACTCAAGAGGTGGCAGGGGAGTTAAGGGTGAGAGAACTTTAGCACTGCATCGTGTTGGAGTGGTGGACAGGAGAGCCAGAGACTAGCAGATCAACTCAAAATACATTCTGAGAGCAGAGTACATTTGCTGGTGGCTTGCATGTGGGGAGTGAGAGAAAGCACGAATGCTATGGAGCTCAAGGACTCTGGCTTGCACATCTGGAGGTCTTGGCAGACAAAGGAGGTGGACAGATAGCAGTGTCACTGACCAATGGAGCATACCGTTTTGCTGGGACTGCTTTGGTTGAGATGTGGGTGCCATTAAGATTGCATTTGAAAAGTCACAGTAGGCATGTGGGTGTGTGACTCTATGGCACAGAGGAATGGCCTTGGCAGGATTTTCACATCGTGCCTGTTAGGTGGCATGACACAGAACAAGGAGAGAGAAATACATGTGGACTCAGAAAAGCAGGGTTGATCATCTGGGTGTGTTATGTTTTGCACCAATGTATACTGACAGTAAAGTCAGAAGGACCATTATGTTATGAAAAGTTAATTTTCATTACTCTAGAATTTATCTTCCATACAGAAGAAAAGCCAGATTATTACACCATCTTAGTCTGTAAGCCATGCAAGAGGCTGGCTTAGCCGTGCAATTTTGAACCCTTCCAAGGTATATTTACTCCTCACCAGTTGCTTCTACTAATTTAATGTTTGCTGCAGTTTTGAATTTGGTAATTATAACCACTACAGAAAAATAAGAACTAAGCATGACTTCTTAGAAATTTATTTTGTTGTAGGGGACAATGGAAATGACACGTGATCATGAAATTCTCTTTAAATCATGTTCTCTGTTTTTCTTCTGCCAAGAAGTGTCAACTTGTTGGTGGCCAGGTCACGCACGAAAACCAATAATTCAAATGTTTGTGTTCCAGTTTAGTTGAGAGAAATAACCCTAATGATAACATAATAAGGATCAAGTCATAGGCATGAAGCATGGCTTTTTCTTATACAGAGCATCTGCTGGGTTCTTAGTACTCAGCAGCTGTTGGCATGGCATGCCTTTGTTTTCCGTATCATCTGTAAGAATTGCCTTTTGCCAGAATGTTAAGCATGTTCTAGAATCCCTCCCCCCCAAGACGGTCTAGATGATCTGTTTGTTTTGAGTATAATGTGTATAGACTCACCCCCAAATTAGCTGTCACAATTCTGGTATTTACCCATAGACTAACCCCAAATACATTTCCTGGGTATGTAACTGAATATTTTTAAGTGACTTTTAAAAGTAAGAAACTAAAGAACTCTTTAATAATGGCGTGAGTCAGCATTCATGATTTTAAGGCCTCAAAATGTCCATGAATTTGTTTTTCAAATGACTCACACCCTCCCTTTACTCCTTGATTGAAAGAAATAAATTGCAATGTCTGTTACATCTATTATATACTGATTCTTTAATTCCTGCTCTATCACAAGTATAATAGTGATAATTTGTTGAATCCTTTGGATTTTATTTCTTGTGTTTTTTTTATCCTTAAGAAAATACCATTACCACCACCTAGCAATTCTTACTTAGTAATTTCTATACAAACCATATTTGCTTTCTTGGCTAATCTCTCTCAATAGTTACCATGGCTTCCAGAAATAAGAACTATGTTTACTGGTATGTTAAGTAGAACACAGGGAAAATACCCTGTTGAAAAGACTAAGAGGGTGTAAAGGAAATGCAGACAGTTCATTTCTGACCCATGTTAGGTTATTTCTACTCACCTAGATGAGCTGATACATTTAACTGATACAGCCTTAAGTGTATATAAATAACTGTGGGCATATAAATACCCTGTGGTCAGGACTCCTTGCTTTTGACTCTATTCAAATGAATGAGAAACATCTTTAATTTTGCTTACAAATAAGTCCTTGTAGTTCTAAGAGCCTGTGACCTCCCCTTGAATGCTGTTGAGTAACAGGAACATATTTGGAACCCATGAAAAACTCATCATTTTTCCAGCCCTTTAAAAATGATTTCCTGTTTAGCTGGCTGCCGAGCTTACAGCTCAGCTTGACTTTTGTTTAGCGACAACTGTTGCTTTTCTCTAGACCATTCAGCACTATATTCTCATCTCATCTGCCTTCCTTCCTTCCTTCCTTCCTTCCCATTTCTGGTGATCAAGCCCTAGGACTTTTTCATGCTAAAAAAAAAAATAAATAAAAAAAAAATAAAATGCACCACCCAGCACACCCCCAGCCCTCAATTTTCTTGTTCTATTACATTACTTTGCTTTTAAGCCTTGCATTATAATGCCTGCATGCATTTATTTTTAAAATACACTTATTTTTATTTTATATGTATGAATGTTTTGCCTGTGTGTATGCTTATACGTATAACACATGGGTGGCTAGTGCCCTAAAAGGCCAAAAGAGGGCACTGGATTCTCTGGAACTGGTATTAGAGACAGTTGTAAGAGGCCATGTAGCTAAAAGGACTCAAACTTGGGTCCTCTGCAAGAGCAGCAGGTGCTCTTAATTTCAGAGCCATCTCTCCAACCCCTGCATACATTCCTTTTTTTCTAATTTAAATAAATTTTATTCAAGAATAAATCAAGATTTTCTTTCCCTTTATTGAACATAGATTTTTTCCTCAGATAATATGTATGTATTACAGTTTCCCTTTCTTTACTACTCCCAGCTCCCCACCCCACCCCCACCCCGCACACACCCAGGTCAAGCCCTTCCTGTCAGTCATTAGAAAACAAACTGGATTCTATGAGAACATAATGTAATAAAATAAAGCATAAGACAAAATCTAACACATTAGAATTGAACAAGACAAACAAGTATAAGGAAAAACGTCCAAGAAAGAGACTCACTTGTTTGCACACTCAGAAATCCCATGAAAACATTAAACTGTAAGTCATAATATATATACAAAGGCCCTGTAGGGTGAAAATAGAAAAGAAAAATAATAAGATGCACTCTTTTTAAAAAGGAAAATCCCTGGCATAACATTATGAGCTAAAGAACTCACAGAGATGCCCTTGAGTTAATTTTCTGTGGCCATCTGCTGCTGGGCACATAGCCCGACCTTAAGAGTGGATTCCTCATTGAGACTCACTCTGAGGAAATTAGATTTTCATATTCTTGATTGGGGAATGTGCTCTCTCAGTCCATGACCCCCTGAAGAAGATGCTGTAAGCTAAGCTTCAGCCCGTGATGAACACTCAACTCCTTATCTGCATTTGTGATACTCACGAGAGAGAGAACCAGGCCCGGTGGCACAGGCCTTTGGTCTCAGTTTTCAGGTCTGAGGCGAAGGATTGCAAGATGAGGACAGTCCCGGCATCTTAGCGGGGACTTGGTCTCAAAAGAAAATTGAAACAAAAGGAGAGCTGAAGTGATGCTTCAGTGGGAGAACACATCCCTAGCATGTCAGAGGCCCTGGGCTCAAGCCTCAGTGCCACAAACAAGAGAAACAACAACAAAAACAGAAAGAAAAAAGGAAAAGACCCCTTTAGCCTCTACTTCTGGGAATATAATCCTCAAGTTGAGACCTCTTGCTGAAGCTGCTCACTGATCCTTGTTGCTCTAGTTCCAGGGCATCTGCTACCCCCCTCTGACCTTTCTGGACATCTTCACTCATGCTCACACACACACACACACATAAATTAAAAATAGATAAAGTTTAAAAGTTTTAAGATTAAAAATAGATTTTACAGCTGGGTGTTGGTGGCACATGCCTTTAATCCTAGCACTTGGGAGGCAGAGGCATGTATATCTCTGTGAGTCCGAGGGCAGCCTGGTCTACAGAGCAAGTTGCAGGACAACCTCCAAAGCAATACAGAGAAACCCTGTCTCAAAAAACAAAACAAAACAAAACAACAACAAAAATTTACAAGCCCAAAATAGAAAGTTTTTAGAAATAAAGTATCTGGAAGGATATGCACAGGTTATATACAGCACTATGTGGCTTTATATAAAGGACTTAAGCATCCCTGGAGTTCGATATCTGCAAAGGGTCCTGGAAGAAATTCCCGCAATGCTTGTGACACTGAATTCTGGGGATATGTGAACAAATGCCTACTTGCCCCAGGGGGAAATGAATGACAGACCAAAGTAACGATGACATCAAGGTCTAATGGTGAACCAGTGAGTTTTATTGGAGTACTTTTAGGAATATGGCTGAAGGGCTACGTAGAGCATCAGAATTGACAGACAGCTCTATTACCAAAGCCCAACCCAGCAGTCCTTATTACTTAAATATGCTTGAGGTGAGGAAGGGACCTAGTGTATCTGTTCAGTTTCAGGAACTTCCTGAAACCTTTAAGTTGTTTATTTCTGTCTCAGTGTGCTTCCTTATAGGGTGGGATTTTTCACCTTCTCTTGGAACATGTTGTTGTTTCACCACCCTTTTAACTTTCTTCCCCCCCACTTAGAAGATTAGCATCTTGGAGGAAACGGCTACATAACATTCAGAGACAGAGAGATGTCTATGTATCATCTCTATGAATCTCTATGTACCTTTAACCATTTCTATTCCTTTGTTTCACATGTTGTCTTTCCATTGCTTTCCATTCCCCAGAATGACCTGAAGGTGCTGTTTACATCATTAGCTGACAACAAATACATCACTCTGCAGAAACTGGCAAATGTGTTCGAACGGCCCATTGTGGAACAGATACAGGTGTGTACAACTGTCCTAGATATAGGCATGTACAAGTAAGTCCCAGAATAGCTTGGGGATAACAAATGTTCTTTGACTGATTAATGGCAAACCATAGCATTTTTATTCATTGTATTTTGAGTGCCAATACTGAGTTTGAATAATGTGCCCAATGATACTGACTTGGTCACCTCTGCATGCATCTATGGAATGTGGGTTCAGAAGTGACGTCAGTGATGGCTACTGTCCTGAAGGAATTTGCTACTCCAAAATGAGATCAAACATGATCTCCATGACATAGGAAAGGAAGAGGACAATCTCAGGTGTGGGTCCCCACCTTTCACTTTATTTGAAGTGGGCCTCTTGTGGTATTCACTGCTGAACAAACCAGGCTAGCTGGCCTGTGAGCTTCCAGGGCTTTCCCTGTCTCCCCCGCCCAACTCACTGTGGAAGAATGTTGATTACAAACACCTGCCATGTGTCTGGCTTTATGTGGTTTCTAGGGGTCTGAAATAAGGTTATCAATTTTGCCAGTCCATCCCTTTACCCACTGAGCCACCTTCTCGGTCCCTGAAAATGTTCTTATTCTATGCTCCTATTTTTCTGTTGGGAATTTTTATAGAACTCCGGGTCAGACATAAATTTCTCTCAGTCTGTAGATGTTTGTTTCCAATGCTGACTTGAGAAACCAAAAATCCTTCTAATTCCCAAAGGTCCCCAGGGGTTTGAAATATCACAATTGCCTGCCTCGGGCAGGGCCTATTTTTATCCCCTGGGCTGGGAACTCAGTAGGCTCTTTTGGTTGGATTTCTGTCTTTCCATTTTGAAAACTTTTCAAATGATTTCTTTAACTTTCATCTGCCTCCTCTTGTGAAACTCTCTTCAATGAGATATTATAAACCTTGTCCAGTGCTCTAATTATCTTTTTGAGAGATCTTTTTCTTCCTGTCTCTTTTGTTAATACCTTGTTCTTTCTGTAAACAGATGCATTCTTTTCTGTAATATACCTGGATGTACACATGGTTTCATGCTTGGGGTTGATTTTTTTCCATAAAAATCTGGTTCCCCTGGGTCCCTTTATTTGTTTGCTGCCATCATCTCTGTGTGTCACGTTGGGTATTGTTGGTTTCAGGGTCATCTTCTGTTGTCTGTTTACATCTGGCTTGGGGGATTAAACAGTTGAATAGGGACCTGAAGTAACATTGAAACTTAACAATTCAGAGGAGATTCGTACTCCATTTGTTGGATGGATCTTTCTGTTCAAGTGTTAAGCTTCCTCAGTTGGTCTTACACATCCTCCTCTCTCTAGACAGTAGAGGAGAGACCACAGCCCTTCCTAAGGCCAAGTGGACTTGAGGCCTCATGTACCATGTTTTTTTTTTTTCATTTCCACACCCCATTTTCTGTCTTCCCTCCCTTTCTCCATTTCATCTCTCACTCCTTTTCTTCTCCTTTTCTCCCTCCCTTCCTTTCTTCCTTCCCTCCCTTCTTTCTCTCTCCATCCCTCCTCCCCTTCCCTGCTGCCTCTTCATCCCTCCCTTCTTTCCTTCCTTCCTCCCCAGGGTGTTGCAATGTAGGTGAGCTGCCTCCCAAGTGTCAGGACTGTAGTCATGAGCCACCACTTCTAGTTCTTTTCTTTTAACCCAGCATTTAAGCCTGTCATCACATCTGTTACCCCTTAGTCTTAGAAAGCCCCCTTCCTTCCCCAGATAATAAGCTTCGAGCTCTCACCTAGAAGGAAAGGGCACTGTGACACGCAGCTGGGACTGGGGATTTCATTCTCTTAGCAGTTTTGCCCCAGCTCTCTGTCTCTATCCTCTGAGTCGCTGAGGCTTCCGATGCACTAGATGTTTTGGGCACAGTTCCTCGGCTAGGTTAGCTTTCTCAGGCTTAGTAAAATTTCATGTACTTGCCCAAATTCTAACTTTGAAAATGTGTTGGGCTTATAGTCTTCCCAGTTTCCTGGCCCCAGCAGACTTAGAGAGGAAAGCGCTCCAAAAACCAAATATTTGCTAATTGTTGCAGAGAGGAAACAAGAAAGGAAAAAGTGGACATATATTTCATCTGCCATCTGTAGTCCAGACTCTTCTCATTGTCAAGGGCAACTGGGTTGTACTTCTTCCAAAAGCCTACTTAGACCAGGATCTGCTGGTCTGGTACCTCCCTCTACCAGAGATGAGCTGCATCATGAAGTTTACTGCCTATTACTTAGATCCGTTTTGTTTTCTACTGGCATCCTGACAAGGCTCTGAGCTCCTTGAAGTGTAGGATATGCTCTCCTCTTTCTATAGACCTCACATTGGGCAGACATGGCTCAGCCACTTGAATCCCTACTAACTTGTTTTTCCATTTCCCAGTGAGGACCAGCCACTCCTTGACCAAGCTTCCCTCCTGCATCCCTGTTGTCACACTGGCATGGTCTCCAGTGATGCTCCATGGAGTTTCAGGAAGCCATTGGCCCCTTAGACATCTCAAGGACATACCTTGTTCACACTGGATCCTACATGAGTAGGATCCAACTTCCTGAGTAGGGGTGGTTATCCACACATTCCCTTGCTTAAGGCGGCCATTGTGGCCTAACTCTACCCTACCTCCTTGCCTAAGATGGCTGACATGTAATATAGTAAAGGGCCTTTTCTTTTTTCCGGTAGTATGTGGTGATGGTTTTTATGTTTTATTGAAGTTAGTCTCTTCTAATGTATTCAAAATCATTTTTAGGGGTAGTGGTAGACCAAACAGTCAAACTTTCACCTCCTATAGGGTAGACTTATTCCTCAGAGTCTGAACAAGATGTTGTAAATCTTACCTAGGCCATACAGCAGGCTGAAGAGGGACTGAGGGAGCTGGACGGCGGAATCTCTGAGTTGAAGCGTCGCGGTGACAAGTTGCAGGTGGAGCAGCCAGCCCTGCAAGAACTCTCCAAACTTCAGGTATCATCTTCAAGGGCTCCCCTCAGCCTCAGTGGCCCATCTGATTTAAAACCAACTATTCTCTTGGAAATTTGGAGTGGGAGGGGCAGGTTGAGACAGGGTTTCTCTGTGTAACTCTGGCTGTCCTGAAACTCACCCTGTAGACCAGGCTGGCCTTGAACTCACAGCAATCTGCCTTATCTGTGCCTCCCTGAGTGCTGGGATTAAAGGCATGTGCCACCACGGCCCAGCTTCTCTTGGAAATTTCTAAAACAAAAGTCATGTCATTCTGGAAAAATCATGTCATGTCATTTAGATTTTAAGTTTTATGTACAAGTAAGGAAAAATTTCCGAACTTTTGGCCATTTTTAGTACAATAGAATGAATTATATATTTTCATGCTCCTAACATTCGTATTTTTTCTGACATGTGCTCTTATGATGATGTCTAAACCCCATGATATATTTCAGTGGTTGCATATATTTATTTCTGCTCTTGAAGATTAATTGTTGTTATAGCTCCCACCCAGCAAGATTAAAGGGGAGAGGATTTTAGTTCAATACTGTAATATATTCCTAGGGACAATTGAACAGAGTAAATGTCCAAGGCAAGACATTTTAGGATGTGGTTTGCAAAGTGGGAGTTTATCTGGCACACATGATGGGATGTAACACAGATGTTCAACTCCAGAACGGCCACAAAGCTTAGAAAGTTGTGAAACCCAAACAAATTTTCCATTACTTTTCAGGGTCAAAAAAAAAAAAAATACCATGTAGCATTAATTCTGATACCTAGGCAGAACTTACACATGTGATAGAAAGACAAAACTGAAATACCTCCCCAGATCAGTGAACTTTAACACCTTATAGAAAACAAACTATTTTTTAAAAAATTTTATTTATTATGTATACAATTATCTGCATGCATGCTTGCACACCAGAAGAGGACACCAGATCTCATTACAGATGGTTGTGAGCCACCATGTGGTTGTTGGGAATTGAACTCAGGACCTCTGGAAAAGCAGTCAGTGCTCTTAACCTCTGAGCCATCTCTCCAACCCAACAAACTGTATTTTTAAAATATGTAATATGTGTTAGTTGGGCGTAGCTGCACGCACTCTGGGTATTACTGTGGAACCCTCTGGGGACGTTGCTGAACCAAGCACAAAGTCTCAAGTCCTCTGCTGGAGAAAATATAACAGCTCTTATAAACAAGGAGTTGCTCTCAGTTTGACTACCTCAGGGCTCTGGCTAGCATTTGGAAATGTCACAGGACAAACCTCCCCCACCCTCTTGCCCTTCTTTCAGATCGTTTTCCCACAGTGCTTCAGCGTCAGGTGTAGGAATCGAACGTCATAGCCGTAAATAAGCATTCAAGTTGAACTTTCCCAGATTGAATGGTTTGGCTGCCCCACCTCAGGGTGATGGATGCTTTAATCAGGTCCATATGCCTCCAGTAAATTTTGTTTGGTGTCTCACCATCTCCTAAAACGTCTTTCCAGATTAAATAGTTGTTTACTTCACCACATTTGGCAGAATCCTTGCTCCGTAAGTCTGTAGGTTTTGCTGCTCACATTAAGTCCCTTGTTTTGGAGCTCTTTGTTTGAAAGGTGATTGGTCCAAAACCTGATACCATTTAGCAGGCAGAAATGTGAGAGATACTCTATTCATTTACTGTAAGATTAAATAAACATTAAGATCATGATAACAATGAGAATCAGCTTTTCTATGACACCTGTCTTCACCTTGTGGACATTTTCAGCATCTTAGCCCCACATCCCATCACGGATATTCAACAGCTTGAGGAGACAGTCAGGAAATTACCTCATGAGTCATTTCTAGGAAATACTTTGTTTTAGATGGCTTGGAATCTTTTTTATTTATTTTAGTTTTTATGTGTATGGGTGTCTGGGCTACATATATGTCTATGCACCCATCTGTGTGCCTAGTGGCACAGAAGCCAGGAGAGGGCATTGGATCCCCACAGACTGGGGTTAAAGTTGGTTGTGAGCCACTGAGTGGGTGATGGTTCCTTTGGTAGAGCAGCCAGTGCTGGTAACTGCCCAAGCCTCTCTCTAGCCCTTGCTCCTTGCTTAGAATCTTGAAAAGTTTCATTTTGTGTGTAGAGAGGTGGGTGTGTGTGTGTGTGTGTGTGTGTGTGTGTGTGTGTGTATGCACATGCCATGGTGATCACACCCAAGTCCCAGTACCTGCTAGGCAAGTGCTGGACAGGAAAGCTACATTGTGAGCCCTATATTTTTACTTTCTAATCATTATAAATTGTATATGAATACTTGGCCTAAGACTCTAATTTTTACTTTTCTACACACAGTTGTAGTCTTTCCACATTATGTCACTTCTTTTATCCTTCACCCTAGTCACTACTTTCTTAAATCTTTGTGAATTTAGTTCATTTTCTTCAGTTCTCCTTGTGTGATTTATGATTTGTTCATTAAGAGCAAAATCAAATTGAAAACAGGAGGGGGTATGTAAGATTGCCAAACGTGATTACCAGAAGAACTTAATCAAAGATCAAGCCTCAGGAAAGCCACAATACTGTGCATATGTATTAAAGATGTGGAGAGAGATGTCACTGAGTGTCCATTTCTTTATTTGTTTATTTTTTATTTATTATTTATTTATTTTGAGTTTCCAAGTGAGGCTCAGAAGACAGGCAGCCTGCTTCCACGCAGAGTCCCGGGGGGTGCTCTTGTGGGGAGGCATGTCCTTGGTGGGGTATTGATGGTGATGGGCTTGGTACTGCAGCTCTGTGACTGAGACTAGTGTGGAACCCTCTGTTTCTCAGGACATGTATGATGAGCTGTTGGTGACCATCAGTTCCCGGAGGAGCAGCCTCAACCAGAACCTGGCACTCAAGAGTCAGTATGACAGGGCCTTGCAAGATCTGGCAGACCTGCTGGACACGGGACAAGAGAAGATGGCAGGGGACCAGAAAATCATTGTGTCCTCCAAAGAAGAAATTCAACAACTGCTAGACAAGCACAAGGTAAGAAGAGAGCAGGAAATGGCATATTGTCAATCCCTTATGTAGGTGGGGGATAACCTAATATATTTGTCCAAACCCACTAGCATGAATAAAGAGAAATGGTAAAGGGTATGCTTTTATGAATTTATAAATTTAAGAAATAATTACTTATCCATTCTCCATGATTATTAAGCCAACTATCTTCAAACATAAATATAGCCAAGGAGACGCTCAAAGCTTTTCTTTAGGAGATGCAGATTCACCATTTTTTAAAGACAGGGTCTTATGTAGCAATCTGGCTTCAAACTCACTATATAGCTGAGGAAACATTGGACTTCTGTTCTCCCAGCCTCCACCTCCTAAGAGCTGGAATTAAAGGCATAAGCTGAAATTTACATGGTCCCCTATGTATCCTTTAGGGCTTGTTGTCCACCTGGTCCTTCATGCTCCCTCTACCCTTCATTGTCCTGGCCTAGTAGACTTCCTCACCCCACTCTGGGAACACAGCGCTGCCCACTCAGCTTTGAGATAGAGTTGATGTCGGTTACTTGCGTCATTCAGTTCTCCTGGCCCTTGAGCACATTCTCCTGCATTTGCTGTTGGCCTCTGAGATTTTCCTGGGCATGACGAGAACTTTTACCACGCAATCAGACTTGGGAACCTCAAGATTGCGCCATCAGTGTGTTCCCAAGAGAAGCTCAGGTTCATTTCTCCTTAGTGAATAAATGTGTGTTTAACACACACACACACACACACACACACACACACACACACACACACACACACACACTTATAACATAACAAACTTTTAGAAATGACTGTGCAAAGCTTACCAGGTCACAAACTCAGCCTCCCAGGCTATGAGAATTCCCTGAAGGAAAACAAAACAATCTCACTGCGTTTTAGATGATTAACATTCTTCTGTTGTGTGGCTCTCTGGTGGGTTATATTATGGTGGACTTGGTGGGGGGAGGGGTACTTTCTTTGCTAATTTTTTTCCCAGAGGTTTTCCATCCAAAAAGTTTTATGATTTATTAAAGCCTTATCATTTGGCCATGAAAACATTGCTTTAAAGTTCACAGCTGTTTTTTCTCAAATCTGACCATAGCAATAAAAGATTACTCTGAGTTATTCCAGAAGGGAAACTAGGATCAAGGAGCAATAGAATAAGGGAGAAAAGATACTCAGTTAGGGAAGAGTTCTCAAAAAGAGTAGACTGTAGCTGCTCCTGGGGCTGAACAGAGGGACCCTTTGGCCATGGGAAACGAGGCCAAGGCCAGCGTGGGCGGTAGGCTTGTGTTGAAAGCAAGTCAACTCTCAGGGCAGGTTAGGATTAATAGTATTTTCTAACCATCCGAGTATTTCATCAACTAATGATGGTTAAAAACAATGATTCTAAGCTGGGCCTAATGTCACAGATTTGTAATCCTAGCTACTTGGGAGGTGGAAGCTGAAAGAATTTCAAGTTTAAGGCCTATCTAGGCTAAAGAGCAAATTCAATAGGAGTGAATACATTAGATATTATCTCAGATAATATAATAAGTAAACAGAATAATAAAACAGCACAGGCTGCTGATATACCTCGGGCGTAGCGTGGTTACCTAATGTTCATTGGTCCTGGTTTTGATTCTTAGCACAACAAACAGTTATGATGGTGATGTTGCTACGTCTACTCCTCCAGTCTGGTTTATGCTCTGTGGGACACCTCTGCAGTGTTTGTGAGAAGCACAGGCACAGTCATATGATGGGAATTAGAACCCAACTCTGCTCTACTCTACTGGGTGACCTCATGCCAGCTACATAGACTGAGTGGCTCTCTGTTATCACCCGTAAAATGATAGATAAAAGTATTTCACAGAGCTTCAGAGTTGTCATAAGGATGACATGAATCGGATTAAGAATTTATGGTGCTGCCAGATAATAAGAACTCAATGTCTGCTTTTATCAATTTCCAGTCCTTCAGTTCTATCCATGGTCCTGGGCACAGGAAATGGGGGTAGAATAGAGCTCATTTCCATTTTTCAGGGTTTTTTTTTCTATAAAAATATCTTTCTATATTTCAATAGTATCAGTTCATGCAATGTTTACAGTTCTGCTGCATGGAAGTAAAATACTAGGAAAATTTAAAATATCTGTTAACCAATTGTTATATGTGCAACCATGCTGGGCAATAATACATCAAAAGCAAGGCATATAGCCTGTAAGTTGGGAGAATTGATCTCAACCCAGCCATGGAGGAGAGACACTGTTGTGCCAGATGAGAACAACTCAAGAAAATCAGGGTGTGGCAGAGCTGAAGATGAAGGTGAGGGGACTAATGTGTCTAAGAGACACAGGAGACCAGTAGTGTGGCAGGGCTGGTCAGTGACTGTGTCACTGATATCAGGGCCCCTGTGCATGGGATGACTGCAGGAACTCTTGGAGTCTGTGTCTACAGCACAGTGATGTACTTGAGTGGAGTCAAGAGGGAAGACCAGTTGGGAGCACAGAGCCTTAACTCTGCAAGAAGCCCCTGTGAGAAGCACATAGTGCCTGCTTACGATGGCGTTCAGCGGGGCTGGGGTGGTACTCGCTTCGTGTTAACTGTGCTCCATCATCAGCTTCTGCTGCTGAAACAGTTATCTGGAGCTGATGTCTGAATGAGCTGCTGATCTTCTTTCTTTCTGACAAAACTTACAGGAATACTTCCAGGGCCTGGAATCTCATATGATTCTGACCGAAACTCTCTTCAGAAAGATCATCGGCTTTGCAGCTGGGAAGGAAACTCAGTTGCACACAGACCGCATGGCTCAGGCATCTGCTGTGCTGAAACAGGCTCACAAGAGAGGCGTGGAGCTTGAGTACATCCTAGAGGTGAGATCACTCTTGTAGCATCTTACTGACTGTAAAATGGGCTAACTGGGTTCTCTTGTGCAGAATTGTATTTTCCTATGGTTCGGTGTTGTTGCATTCCTTTAAATACAGTATGTGATACATCATTATTGTGAGTCAGTTAAATGGCCTCAGAGTATGTGTGAAGAAGCTTGAAGGCTTGAGCTTCAATCCAAAAACCTAATTAAGAGCATGAAACATGAAAAATACATATCTCTGACCCTGTCTCCAATGCAATTGTTTTTGTAATAAGACCTGTCCCTGGACTCTGGGAGCCAGAGGATAGCCATCTGGGTACAAATCTTTATCGTCTGAGAACAAAAAAATGGAGATTAATTTATAAAATAGCAACTTACGGGGCCGGAGCCATGGCCCAGTGGTTAAGAAGGGTACTTGCTGTTCCTACAGAGGACCTGAGTTTGGTTCCTAGTAACCAAGTTCGGAGGCTTATGACTACCCATGAATCCTCTGTGGGCATCTGCACCCATGTGAACCTATGCATACATATACATGCTATTAAAAATTAAATCAGCAACATCCCCAAAACTCTGAACTGAAATAACAAAATATAGGTTCAGATTCTAGCTGCCATATGCTGTGTTCTTAGTCCCAGTTAGGAATTTGCTATTCTGCCTGAGAAATTCCATTCCCTATTCTGTTCACTTGCGTTTGCTTATTCGTCATAAGTGAAGAAATCAAGTATTTATTTATCCAGCATTTTTCAAGTTGCCACCAGATTCCCAGGCAAGGGAAACACAAAAATGTTCCCAGGACTGCCCTCGATGATATCGTGGTCCAATGAGGCAACAAGAAGACAATCAGAACACAGGATGATGTCGCTACAGGAAATCAAACAGCCTTTTAAATACTAGATCTTATAGATTATCAGAAAAAAGGATGCCATTTATTAACAGGATCCAGATTCTAGAATGGGAGTTGGCCCCTGGGCTAAGTGCAGCCTGTTCTTTGTAAAGGCTATTTGGACATAATAGCTTTATTGGTTTGTTTGTTAATCTCCTGCCTTCATCCAATGGGCAGACACGACTGCTTGCAATAGATATTAATTAATCTACAAAGCTGAAGTTGCTTACTATGTGTTCTATTGTAGAGAGTTTGCAAACCAATGCTGTAGGTTCAGAGAGACCTGGATTGAGTCTTAGCTTCCACACAAATATATGACTTTGAACACCAAATAGGTTCTCCACAGAGGCTAAGTAATTAGTCACAGAACCCTGTGTGAATCACTGGCAGATCAGTCCCCTCCTTTGGTTAGTAATTATTAGGTCAGTAGCCTTAAACTGCCCCAGTTTCCCTATTCTTCCCACCCATTTCATTTAAACATGTTAGGAGTTGTGTTTATCCCCTCTTTCCCTTCTTTTTTTTTTAAGCTTTTTTTCATTTTTAAAGAATTTTATACATGAATACTGTATTTATATTATTTCTACCCCTTCAATGCCCTTGTGTCCCCCAACTCTTAATTTCATGACCTCTTTTTATTATTGTAGTGTGTACA